TAGACTTTTTTAAACCTTAGACTATCACTAAAACATGTTTTGTAATACGTAGGAATGAATGTGTTATTAAAGTAAACGCGGAACTAATAACCACGCAAGTAAAGCAAAAGGATTTGTAAGCTTTCGGTGTATTCTAATCCGGAAAGCCTTTTAATGCTCCACTACCTGTCAAACCTTTTTCATATGTAATTTACCTGTCTATAGATAGGATTGATAAAACTTATTTTGATCTTTTTTAATAAAAACTATCGTAGCCACAGTATTTGTACTGATTTAATTACTAGGGTTTCATGATTGAAGGTAAATGATTATTAATAGTATAAATTACTTTTTATTACAACTAGGACGCTACTTTACAAAGAAATTATTTAGATTCTAGGACATCAATGAAACATTCGGGCAAGCCTTAAACATCGTACTTAAGGTTAGGATCAATCTTGTGAATATTTTTATAAAATAGTGATTTTTTTATGGATAGAAACCTATTACATTTTTCTTTTATTTATTAACAAGTTATACCACTTCATCGTCATCACTACAGCCTTTCACAAGATAAGTCCACTTACCCACACCCAAAAATAGCCACAAATCAGTAGATTTATCTCAGCCATATTTTTTAGATACTCTCCATTCGGCTATAAATCCATCTCTTAAAAATTGTTGCGAAGAAAACTGGATATAACTTCGTAGCATTTCTAAGGGAAAATTTTAAATATGATTAAATATAAATTATTAATTTTTGTACGTTTGAAATAATATAGTTGAAATAGTGGTTGAAAGTTAAAACAGCTTAACCCATTGAAAATTCGGCATTTTATTACTTTGATATATTTCAATTATTTATTTAAAATACTTTCAGGTTTAGTTACTCTTAGTTTTTACTTCGCAATTGCTTTTCCGAAAAGCAACAAAGAGATCTTTTACGGAATTATGTAATTTTTTTTATCATAATTAGGCCTACATTTTAAACCAACCCTGATGTTAATATGCATATGGTGTGGGTCGTGGATTGACAAAAATTTAGCCTATATAATTTAAAATTTAAAATTTTGTACAGCCGACTTCAATATACTATTGGTCTGGCCTTGATCAAATTATTAACATATGGGACCACACGAAAAGTATCAGCTTTCAAATAAAAAAAAATAATCATTGAAATCAGTTCACCCAGTAAAAAGTTATGAGGTAACACACAAAAAAAAAACATACAGTCGAATTGAGTACCGTCTCCTTTTTGGAAGTCGCCAGAAAATGTTTATTAATTTGTATCTTGAAAAGTAAACTAAAAACAATTAAATAATTAAAAAATACTACTTTGAAAAGATACTTATAAATATCTAATTAAATTAATCATGGTAGATAACAATATTTGTAAATTATATAAATAATATTAGTACAATGGAAATGAGAAATGTGAGTTTTCAACGTAGGTTGGCCATGTGGTGGTGGTGGTGCAAGAGTATCTATCTATCAGGTACCGTAAAAGGCTCCTATGGGATACGCCAGAAACATCTTATGGCTTCCGATAGAAGACGGTATAATTATTTCGTTTACCCCAGATGTAAAATATCCCGAACGGTATCGTGGAGTGTCGTTTAAATTTCAATCCGCCTGTCAAGCGTGACGATTAAGGAAAATCCCGCCTATATCGAGATAGACCCATATCCAGTGGCGGACTTTTGGCTGGCTGATAAATACGAAGCAGAAGGAGAAGGTATACTTAAAAAAAATAGCAGTACAGTCAGGTCTGGCAACTTTACCAATGGATGTTAACTTTGTCATCAGGGGTGTACTGGTACAAAATTACGATTAACACGGAAAACGTAACGTTTTTCGAGATAAGCCATGTTTTGGATGAAAATACAATAACTAATTGACAGCATTGCTTTCGATGTGGCAACATAAGAGTTAATTTTGGCATTTTATTTTAACACAGAATTGTGCCGCCGAAATAATCTCTCTGTTCAATGCTCCCGAACTTTAGTTTTCTTTGTTGGAAATACTGAACGTCTAATCTATAATTTTGTAGTAACGTTATATTAATGGTTATCATATACATGTAATATATTATTTTTAATACGTTGATCTTAATATTTATCTATAAAACTAACATGGCAAAGTTACCATACTAGTGATGCCATGATGTGACGGTTACTTTAGTAGTGTAGTTGTACCACTTCTAGACCACCTGAGTCAGACGTGGTTCAACGACGTTCGTCGACGCCCGATCCGAAAAAAAAAAAAAAAAAGGCTTTGGCATGCTCTGATCACGAATCCGCGGTCCATTTTTGTGTAGAATGCACGGTTCCGGAGATGTGTAGATCAATTAGCTAATATCTAATTGATATCCGGTAAGGGCCTCCATTAGCGTCCCATTGTTCCTATTTCTATTGTTCTATTAATTTAATCACCTTAATCACCTTCATTGCAGCGTGTGCGTCGACTATATCAGTGCTATTGTTTATTATAATTCTTTGTTTATACAACGCTAATCTGAATCATCAATAAAACACATTACATAATTTTGTTACAATTTTTATTTATAAAATACAAAATCTTATTAATTATTATCTATAAAATAGGAGCGAAACATCTCATCCACTAAAATATCGTTGTACAATGTGTTCCTTGTAAATATACTCGTAAAACTATGTATTGAACATCCTTGACACTTATATAGTAAATACATTAAGCAATATTCGCCACAAACTGAAGTCCACTCATTCTGAATCCTATCAACATTCCAGTTCCATCTTTTACAATTCCTTTTTAAAAACTCTAGATGATATCGTACAGGTGATCGTCCATATGAATCAAAATATTGACCGACGTCATTCGTATCGATATATAAAGCTACCCAATGTGACCCTGGTTTATCATCTGTATCCAAATTACATATTATATACGTTGGTACGTGGGTATACATAGGCAGTCTATTAGCTGCATAAACATTATTTTCTAGACTGGGGTGAATCTTTTTCAGATGTTGTTGTACATCTAGTGTATCCATGATATTACTGCTATTAGTAGATTATTACAGTACCTAGCTACTCAATGAATAACATAGGAATGGTCAATTATAGTGATTTATACATATTAAATTGCATTTTTGTGATATACAAATCGTACTTGAGTCATTGATCACCAAACAAAACACAATACGAAGAAATGTTGAGATAGGCAACGGAAATGTGAGATAAACTGATATGTTTCTAAATATTAAATTGCATTTTTGTGTTATACAAATCGTACTTGAGTCATTGATCACCAAACAAAACACAATACGAAGAAATGTTGAGATAGGCAACGGAAATGTGAGATAAACTGGTTGACGCATAAAGTAATTATCAACTCATTACGGAAATACTTTAGATTAGAATTTTTACGTACTGGTGGTATATAAGACCAACAAACGCAGTCATCGAGTTAGTGTACGGTCGTTTGGCTACAGTGGATCTATCAATAGTACATTTGTGTTACTTCAATACACCAAAGGCTATGGATGTAAGTGTTTATTCTATTGACTAAATTACTTTTTTTCTGTTATTTTCATGTGTGTGTATTATTTTATTTAAATATTGTGTATGTATATGATTAAGCCGTGGTAACTCAGATGGTTAGCGCTAGCTGTAAATTTCACAGTACGCGACCCGGGTTCGATCCCCGCCAGCACCAATTAAATTGTTAATAGCAATTTTAAGTGCTTATTACCACGTGCTTGGTGGTGAAGGAAAACATCGTGAGGAAACCTGCATGTCTGAGAAAATTTCGAAGGCATGTGAAGTTCGCCAACACACATTGAGGGAGCGCGGCGGACATTTCCTTGCTCTAAAACCCTCTCAGAAATGAGAGGAGGCCTATGTTCAGCAGTGGACTTTAATAGGCTGTAACTTTAACTTTTTTAACTTTTATGATTAAGTGTTAACAAATTGATATTAACATGATAACTGTGTTGTTGCAGAAATCATTGAGCTTCGATGAAGATACCTATAAACAGTATTACTACTCGCCACTCTCCCCTCAAGAAGAGAGTGATAACCTCGTCATTAATAATAACACATGCGATGGTGGAAAAAGAAAATCGCAATCGATTGATCATTTTTTTGAAGCTGAATCAAAAATAAAAAAGAGGAAGCTGTTATCATCAACCGTAGCACGAGCCGCTAGAGATGGTGTATCATACATTTCTACTAATTCTGACGACGGAGACCAAGCGACGCATCTCATCAAAATTGAAATGTACGATATGAAGAAGCTATCCAAGATTCCAACTACTGATCATTGGAAACATGCTTCCACTAGAATTAAATATTACGTAAAGACTAATAAGGATAGCATCTACGACAACACAAACGCTCTCGTATACAATATAACAAAGACAATAGCAGAAAGTGAAAAAGTTAAAAAATACTTTTTTAACAATGACAGTCATTAGCTGATCATTAGTGAATGTGATTCTGTTTACTTCAATTACAGGAAGACAAGAGCGGAAGGAAGAGATGAGTGTGGCATACGTGTACAAAACACATCATTGAATAACAAAACTACAACACTGAGTGGAGAAGAAAACGAGAAGAGTATGCAGTACTCAAGAGCTGAATATCCATTCTTCAGTTCAAAATCTAGCCGTTTGCTTAGTTTCGAAAACTGGCCTCTAGTTATGCGACAGAAACCTGAAGATCTTGCCGAAGCTGGTTTCTTTTATACTGGCCATGCAGACGGGACCAAGTGTTTCCATTGTGGTGGTGGTTTAAAAGATTGGGAAGATGATGATGATCCTTGGCAGCAGCATGTTCAGTGGTTTAGTCAGTGTGCTTATGTAAAATTTCAACTCGAACAGTGTTTTGTATTAGATTAAATAGAAGATTTATAAAGAAATAAAAAAAATATATTGCATACAATTTGTTTTATTTAATTTTATAACGTTTCACATAGTTACATACACACAAAATGCATTACACATAACACATAAAATCTAACACACAACACATATTATAACCTTAACTACTATAGTCTACAGTAACATTTCTGTTTTTATCTATCTCAATAATATTATCAAACTCAGCATAAACTATACAGTTAATTGTTTGTATTAATGAGGATTCAAATCGTACTTCTATTCTTACACTACCATGCTTTATGAGATTCCAATGAGTTGATGAGTTAGCTGATAAATCAGGAGTTAAGTCAAATGCTAATAGACAGTAACCTTTGCCATACTGTTCACAAGAGATTCCATTTCCTTCATTAAGAAAGTGAATACCAGTTCCCGAGAATAGAGTATGATATGCTGATGTAAATATGCTATTATTAAAAGATGGTTGCAAAGCTTTTGAAGGTATTTGTTGACCATCAATATATAAGCTGAAAGAATTAATACCATAGTTTTCAAAGTTAAATGGATTTTTAGTAAGGGAACCATTAAATGCAGAATTGTTCACAAATCCAATTATACATCTTTTCGGTACCTGTCCTAAAAATATATTATCAAGAGTTTTTCCTTGAACACCTGAAGGAATTGTTAAAACTTTTACTTCAGCTCGAGTAATAGGATATTTAGCAGTGGTAGAAGCTAAAACTTTTTGATGTGCGAGTAATACACTTGGATTAATTCGTGCTCGTCGCACAATAAGAGTTGCGTCCGTAATGCAAACTTTAAACTTTATATCGTTCGACCCAACAATTAAATTAAAACTCTCTCTTGATCGAACCAGTTTAACACTCATTTCAACACCATTAATTAAAAATTTATCTTGGTTAAAAATGTCACCGTGAAGATGACCAATCATTTCTATTTCCTTACTTTCACTAATCAATTCCTGTCTTTTAACAAATCCTATGTTTTTACCATCTGTAGAATCCATTTTTCCTGCTGTATCCTCATACCAAAGACTACAAGTAAGATGAGATTGTTTAGCAGCAGGGGCATAGTTTAAAAGGGTTTCCATGTATGCTCGATATGCATAGGTATTATTAGGTGGTGATACAAGTTTTTGGTTTAAATAAACATCAAGTTGACTAAAAAGTGAATGCAACCAATTATTTACAGGTGCTACTATTGTAGTAGATACCAAGTTAGTTGAATCTTGATTTAATACTTTTGCCTTTATGTGGAGTAATGTATGAGACAAATCTATGTAGTCATCGCCGGTCCCAGGAACTTGAAACTCGATAGGTCCATCATCACCAAGAGATGAAATTGGTTTATAATGAATCCACAATCCATTTTCAATGCTAGTTTGTGTAGACGGTAGTGCAAACAAATCCAATTCTGACTTAACGCACTCGCAAGAATGATTATGAAGGAAAGACATATTTAGTTTGAAAATATATCTTTGATATTTTTTGGTTTTAGACTAAGTTTTTTCGCAGCTTTCACTTTAGCAGTTAATGGTGGAATGAACGATGTCAATCGTTTTCTTTTAGTTTTATACCCAGATCCAGTCATGTTAAATTGATCAATTTTCTCATCAGCCTTTCGTTTTAAATTCGTACTAACTTGCTTTAGACGATCTTTTATTGAGGCTTCCATAGGACGGGCTTGACCCATATCCGATAAAAGTCCTACTCCAGCGCTTAATGCCTCCTTACCAATCACTCGAGCACCACTTGAAAGTAAAGGTAAAACTGATCTGAATAACCCCCCTAAGAAGCTCCCAATACCATGACCGCGTTGATATGGTGAACCCTTATAAATTACTCCAACTCCTGATCCAGCTTGATGTGTATAATAATTTTCATATGGACATTTATGATGATCACGAAGAGAATTCATTATTATAATTTTCGGAAATGTAGTTTAATACACACGGTTCCAAACTGGAATGGTATTTTTTGTCCTGTACTCGATCTTATAACTATTTCCAACGTATCGAACTCTCTTCGCATAACAGGTAAGTAGTGAGGTTGAGAGAAAACGTGCATTTTATTTGCACCATAAATGTATTTTGTAGGATCTAATGAAATGACTCTTAATAAAGGAGTCATAACATCACCCACAATCTGAGGATCGATAATATCGCAATATAGAAATAGTTGAGATGGTAACCCTAAGTGTAAATTAGCAGGACACTTTCCAAAATTTCTCTCTAGGAGATTTTTATTTGGTTCATAACCTAGCTGTAAACTTAATTTGGGTGATAATGTTACGGATGTTATATTTTTATCCAATACCGAAATAGACACAAATTTTGTTATTTCATCATAGCGAAATTTCAAGTTCTCTCCGATACCATTTAACACTCTTAAAATATGCTCAACGTTATCATAGTTGGTAGCTGGAATATGTTTTTTGTAGTACACTGTGGATGGCTTATCTTCATTAGGCATTAACATAGATTTTGTAATGTATATAACATTTTCATGGTCTTGAACAGTAAACATGGTACATGGATATTGAAACTCGACAACTCCAACCGACCATTCACCTTCTAATTTTATAGCTTTTGGTAATTTCGTTGAAAAATTTGTGGTCTTGTTATCAGGAAAGTATTCCATTGAACTATTGCTGAGCAAAGTTAAATAGAAACTTTCTTTATTCATATTTCTTTTAAACTAGAAGCTAAAATCCAACTGTTAAATTTATCTGGATAACCTTTCCACTTCACTAATACTTCTTTTCTGTTACCTGAATAACGAGTGTCAATTATTTTATCTATTTTATGTTGTGAGGTGGGGTTGTAAGTGATTTTCTGTAATTCTCTTTCATAAAAAGTACCAATTATTGGTTCATTTTGTAAATCTGTTATTGTATAAACAACCCATGGAGATCTATCAATTATTGAAGATATAATAAATATTTCATCACTCCAATTTGATTCATATCCTTTTTGGAATACATGTTTATATTTAGTTATTCGAACATAATCACCCACATTGAAATTTGGTTTAGGATTTTCTAAAGAAAGTTTTTTTGACCGTCTGTCATAAAGATTAGTCCAAACTGTCATAATATTGTTGGAATTTACATCACATGGGCACATCTTAATACTAGAGTGAAAGCTGTGATTATAAGAGTATATTAAATCTTGTAAAACATCTATATATCTATAAGTATTATTATGAGTGAAATAACGCCACATTTTCATTTTTAGTGTTCTTTGAAATCGTTCAACAATACTGGCCTTAATGTCAGGATTGTTAGTGGTATAGTAATTAATCTTTTTGGATTTAAAGTATTTTTGTACATCTTTAGAAACAAATTCGGTACCTTTATCGGATTGTATGTGAGTAGGTGTTAAATTACTTTCAGTAAATATACTTTCAAAACATTATTTAGTTGTTTCTGAGTTTTTCTTTTTCATTGGTCTTGCAAAAGCATATTTACTAAATACATCAATAATACAAAGTATATTTATGAAACCATCATTATATTGAGAATAAGTTCGCATATCACTTAAATCAGCTTGCCACAGTTCATTAATATTTGATAGAATGTACCTATTACGCGGGAATTTTTTTCGAATGGGTTTATGTAATGTGTATGTTTCTTGTGATTTTAACCATTCCTTTACTTGCTTTTTATTCATTTTACCCTTCATGGCTTTTGATAATTTATCAATACTACCAAAACCAGCGGGATTAGATGGATCATAATAAATCCTGTTAATTTCTTCTAGTACGGAGTCCATTTTTCCCACTCAAGTCCTTTACGTATTTTAGTTGTAGACTTTTTATCTCTACTGCACGGTGTAGAAAACTCTTGAACTTCAATCTCAGAGGGTTTGTTCAGATCTTTTGCTTGAAGTTGGTTAATAAACTCACATCTCCTTGGATTTCCAATATAAGTAAGTGGTACTTTAATATCTTTTAATGCTTCAGCAAATCTAACCCACCCTACCGGATCACTTCTTTTTAGGGGTCTTAGTGAATCATTTATTAAATCAACAATATTACTTCCAGGAATTTTTTCACTATCAATTTTGACTGTACCTTCGTTACCCCAATGTATTTTACTTTTACTTGTTTCAACTAAGTTTAATAATAACTGCCCTTTTTTATGATAAGTTTTTGGTATTAAACTGAGTATTTGAGCTGGTGTGTAAAGTGGATTTTCATCATTTTCTTTACTTTTAATGGATCGATTCTCCTCCAGCAAAGATTCAATATCAACTGAAGTTTTTAGATCTCTATCTTTATTTTTAAAACCAATTTTTGACTCATTTGAATCTTCATTAGATGTATCAGAATAAATTGGTAATTTGAGTGGTTGACGATCCTCTTCGGTAAAATGAAGGTATCTTTGCAGTGTTTGTAAATATAATATCCATTTCTTTCGGTCTTCCGTCTTACTATTCATAATATTTTGCATTTCAATATCTAATCGAGGTAAATTACTATTAACCTTATTTTCTTGTTTTAATTTTTCAATCAATCCAGGTTCGATAAGTATCATTTTCTTTGCATTTTCCATGTTAACTGGCTAGTCCACTCACTAATCCACTCAATATTGCACCTAATATTGTTGGTAAGAAAGCCCCTCCTTTTTGTATAATTATATTTTTTCTTAGTTTATGTTTACACTTACGTACTAGTTTACGGAGTATGTTTTTATGTTTATTCAATTTTTGTTTATCCTGATCTTTAAGAGGTACTTTTCCTTGTAAAACGTTATGAATACACTCACAAATACAGTTAATTTCTTCTTCATCACACGTTTTAAGTAATGCTCTTTGATATTTTGGTTTAAGCGTATGCAAAGCGGTTAGCAAATGTTTATACGTTGTGAGTCGACGATGCATCATTTAGCAATGATTTCAATTGTTTGATTCTTGGTGTATTTAAACTCTTTTGTGGGGACGTAGACTGTACAGAAACCATTAAATGGAAAGACATTTGTCTTGATACGACAAAAATCATTGGTATTCTGTTTTAAATCTACCATTAAATATCCATGTGCCTCTAGAGTTGCATCCCTGTAGGCATTTTCAATGAATTTTGGGTTATCTGGTGATACTTGTCTTGCTAAATATCTTATTTGAGTTTTATCTCGAGGGTTTTTAAAATATATTATATAACTTGAGTTTAAAGATATGTCTCTTTGTCCTTTACCCTGATGAAATAAATTTTGTGTTAGATAAAATACACTAAGATTCCTGTGATGACTACCTTTTGTAAATATATCCACAATTCTTCCATCGGACTCTCTCATTAGATCATCAATAATAACAAGATGTGGGTTTTCACCATCAAACATATTAAGATTTGGAATTCCTTGATGATAGTTAACATTTGGTAAATTATATAATGGTTGCATTTCATCAAAGCACCATGTGATCTGATTAAAATCACAATTACATATTTCTGTAACTGATTTTATGAAATTTGTTACAAAATTTGACTTCCCACACCCACTTGGTCCTGCCACAATAGCAGTGAACGGATGGATAAAGTGAAACATAACACACGTCTAAAGTTCAAAGGGATGAAATAAAAAATGAAAGTGTTGGTGTAAACAATTAATATATATTCCAAAAATTATATAAAACAGAATTATCTGTATACTATTTCTAACACAATTAGTACATCATAATTTTACAATTAACTCAACCTCAAATAAATAGAAACAACAATTAGTACATCACAATTTTACAATTAACTCAACCTCAAATAAATAGAAACAACAATTAGTACATCATAATTTTACAATTAACTCAACCTCAAATAAATAGAAACAACAATTAACTTAAATTATTTACAATAAAACAATGTTTAAATATGTAATAAACTACGTCATATTATAGTATTATCATAATTTTACAATCAATATAAATTTTTCTTAAACGCAGACATAAAAGTAAAAACTATCAACACTTAACGCAGTTTATAATGACCCCAAGCTAATGTTTCAATATTATTATCTAAAATATGTCTCTTTGTGTCATTATATGATAAACCTATCTTATTTATTTTTGTGTGAAAATTGTGTGTTTAATTGATTTAAATCTAAGCATACTATAATATTGCACTTTTTTATTAAATAGAGAAGACTTATAACTATTCATTGTCATCTTTTTAGTGATACATTTATTTACCCCTTTTGCCTTGGCTATAGTCTTATTCTCTAAGTTAAAAGCGTACATTTTGGATCGTAAACCCACAAATTTTTTCATGATTTTACCATTATTTTCATCTTTAAAAAAACCTAATTTCTTTTTATTTAATTTTGGATATTCAAAAATATTATTTGTATCATAATCTGAGGTATCAAAGTATGATGAAAGGTCAGGTTTTATATCAGTGTAAAAATCATTTGTAAATATATGATATATTAAACTATCCGTATCTGTATACAATAATTTGATTTTACTAAACT